CTCCCGCCTCCGCCTCCGCCTCCGCCTCGGGCTCCGGCGCCCGCTCCGCCATCCCCCCCACCCTAGTTACCAGCCTCCCCCGTTGTTAGGAGCCCTGCCGGAAGTGGCGCGCATCTTCCGCGCCGCCGGGAAATTTCTCACGGCCTCCCTCTGCCCGGCGGCACCAAAGGAGGCCTGGCAGCGGGAGCTGCGCATGCGCGCGGCCGGCTCCCCGCCACTGCCTTTCGGGCTACCTTTGTGTGTGCGCGCACCGGGCCCGGGCGCTGTCCCTGAGCGTTCCCCGCTCAAGGCCTCAAGGCGAGCGCTCTACCCCTTGAACCGCATCCCCACTTTTGGCTTTTTGGTCTCTCCGTCTTTCCTTCCCGGGATGGCTTGGAGCTGCAATCCTCAGATCTCAGCCTTCTGAGGATTACAGACTGGGTTAATTTTCTAATTTCGTTAAAGGAAGGGCTGAGGTTCGTGGCCACGACCCGGAGCGGTGGAGGCCGGCCGAGGAGTCTATCCAGTGGAGTAGGAGGTGTGACCCGTGTGGGGCGTCCTGGGGCGATCGGGGAAAGGGATGCTGCGCTGCCAGAGAGGAGGGAAGACAGCCCCAGGCAACAATATTTTTATTTGCTGTACACTCAAAAGTTCACCCGCGGTCCACAGCCTCCATGAGCCGCTGCCTGTGCTCAGGATCCCCCGTGACTCTGCTGCTGTGGCTGTTGATGGTCGTCAGTGTCCTGGTGGCTCTCAGAAAAGGGTCCAGTCGGCTCCTCCATCCCTGTGGGTGTCAGGAGCTCCCCTGAAACTCCTGACAAGCGGAAGACCACAGGGATCTGGGCCAGGGCTGGGTTGGTCTCCTGCAGGCCCTGGATCCACTTGGCTAGTGTGGCCTGGTCGTGGGCACCTGCCATGCACATGGCGAAGATCGGACCTTCTTCCACTGTTGGTAGAGAAAGAGAGTGCAATGGGGTGCAACAGCCCCCTCACCCCATGTCCACTGCCCTTCCAGAAGTCTGAGCCCCCTGTGGAGAAAGCATCTGTGTGGAATGTCTCCATACCTTTGCACCAGCTGTCCCCTCTGCCCCAACTACACACATTCCACACTTAAAAGGTCCAGCCTGCTTGCTTCTTCCTAATTCTGCATACCACCACTCTCAAAATTCCCCTAAATATAACTTGCCTGTTTTCCTGGCTGACCTGGGGGTAACCCACCCCGCCATCCCCCACCCCCAATCATCAGTATGGAAGAGTTTCATGAAGGACAGTCCTGGAAGGAGGGACAGGCCTATTCAGGCCTTAAGCCTGGAGGCTCATGGCTTGGGTAGATACCTGCTGAGTGGGGGTGTGTCTCAGCCTGGGTCCCCAGAGACCACACAGCTTGTTTAGTGCTGAGCCCTGCCCAGCCAGATGTTTACCTTCATCAATGTCAAACTCATAGTCATCCCAGCCGCCCCGGCCATACTCCAGGTCCAGCTTCATGGGATAGTAGAGATTCCATTCCTCAGGGATCTCCTCCACTTCCTATCTCAGGGTACAGGGAGCAGGCAGGGTCAGAGGCCCAGGATCTTGCAAGCCTCCCTGCCCAGTAGCCCACCCACCAGGGCCCCCCATGCCATGGGGGGGGCTCTCACCCTCTCCTCAGGGGGCAGCGGGTCAGCTCTGAGGATGTGGTAATACACACACTTATTATGGAGCCACAGGGAGAAGGGGCCCTCCACAAAGACAGGCCGGGCTGGGTCGTGGCGGGCCAGGGCAGCCTTCTGATCCGGACTCTGGATTCCTGCGGTGGAGACCATGTTTGAACTGGCTTCTAAAGGCCCAGGGAGGCCACTGGTCATAGGCCCCGGGGGAACGGGCAGGACTGGGGAAGGTCACAGGCCTCGCTGCCCTGTGCTTGGGGCCTTACCTACAATGTGGGGTTTCGTGGCCTCCTCTGTCCTTGTCATGTCATTGGGCAAAGACATCTATGGGAAGAGCAGGGACAGAAGCTTGTGGCACCCAGCCAATATAGCACCAGAAGACAGAGATGGAAGAAGCCTCAGGGATGCTTAGCTAGTTCCTACATGTCACTAAAAAGGCCCCTCTTCCCTTCTGTCCAATACGGTCACAGCTATCAACATTTAAGGTGGTCACACTGGCTGGGCACCGACGCCTATAATCCCAGCTACTCAGAAAGCTGAGAACTGGGGATCATGGCTCAAAGGCAGTCTGGGCAGGAAAGTCCCTGATTTTTTTTTTTTTTTGGTCAGTTGGCTGTGGGGCCTGAACTCTGCGCCTGGGCGCTGTCCCTCAGCTCTTCAGCTAGAGGCGAGCGCTCTACCACTTGAGCTACAGCGCCACTTGTGGTTTTCTGGTGGTTTATTGGAGATAAGAGTCTCAGGGACTTTCCTGCCCAGGCTGGCTTTGAACCACGATTCTCAGATCTCAGCCTCCTGAGTTGCTAGGATTATAGGCATGAGTCACCAGCGCCTGGCTGAAAGTTTTTTAAGTCAGTCTTGGGGCTTGAACTCAGGGCCTGGGCTCTATCCTTGAATTCCTTTTTTGCTCAAGGCTAGCAATCTATCACTTCCAGCTTTTTCTGTGATTAATTGGATGTAAGAGTCTCACAGGGGGCTGGGAAGGTGGCTCAGTGGTAGAGCACTTGCCTTGCATGCCTGAGGTCCTGGTACGATTTCCCATCACCACATAAGCAAAAAGAAAAAAAGCCGGAAGTGGCGCTGTGGCTCAAGTGGTAGAGCGCTAGCCTTGAGCTGAAGAGCTGAGGGACAGCGCCCAGGCTGAGTTCAGGCCCCACGACCGGACCCCCAAAAAAAAAAAAGTCTCACAGACACAGACTTTTCTGCCTGGTCAGGCATCCACCCTCGATCCTCAGATCTCATCCTCCTGAGTAGTTATGATTACAAGTGTGAGCCATCAGCACCTGGCTCACGAGACTCTTAATTTTTTTTGTCAGTGGTGGGGCTTGAACTCTGGGCCCAGGTGCTGCCCCTCAGCTCTTCAGCTCCAGGCTAGTGCTCTACCACTTGAGCACAGCACCACTTCTGGCTTTTTCTGCTTATGCAGTACTGAGGAATCAAACCCAAGGCCTCATGCATGCAAAGCAAGCACTCTACCACTGAGCCACCTTCCCAGCCCTCATGAGACCCTTATCTCTAATTAACCACCCCCAAATCCAGAAGTAGCTGTGGCTCAAGTAGTAGAGCGCCAGCCTTGGGCAAAAAAGCTCAGGGACAGTGCCCAGGCCATCGGTTCAAGCCCTAGGACTGGTATACACACACATACACGCACAAACACGCTCACCCTGAGGGAACCCTGGAGCCACCCACTACAGTAAAATCCTGGCTTTGTTACAGGCTGTGTGGCTTCAACCAAGTCACTGTACCTCAGTGCCTCGGTCTCTCCAATTTCAAAATAAGGGGAATAACAGACCTTACTTGAGATGGCACTGAAACCCTAGAACAGGGGTTCAGCTCAAGGGAAAGTGCTTGCCTAGCAGATGCAAGGCCCTAGTTTCATTCCCAGCACTGCAAAAAACATATATTTTTTGGTCAGTTGCAGGCTTGAACTCTAGTCCCGGGCACTGTCCCTGTGCTCTTCAGCTCAAGGCTAGCGCTCTACCACTTGAGCCACAGCACCACTTGTGGTTTTCTGGTGGTTTATTGGAGATAAGAGTCCCACAGACTTTCAAAGCCAGTCTCAGGGCTGGCTTTGAGCTGTGATCCTCAGATCTCAGCCTCCTGAGTAGCTAGGATGACAGGCGTGAGCCACCGGCACCTGGCTACAAAAAATATTTTAAAAAAAAATGTAAGCTGGGTACTGATGGCTCATAATCCTAGCTACTCAGGAGGCTGAGATCTGAGGATCATGGTTTGAAGCCAGCCTGGGCAGGAAAGTCCATAAGACTCATCTCCAATTAACTACCAGAAAACCAAAAGTGGCATTGTGGCTCAAAGTGGTAGAGCATTAGCCTTGAGTAAAAAAGCTCAGGGACAGTGCTTGGGTCCTGAGTTCAAGCCCTATGACTGACAAAATATAAAAAATAAGCCAAGCACCAGAGGTTCACACTTCTCATCCTAACTCCTCAGGAGGCTGAGATCTGAGGATCAGTTTGAAGCCAACCCTGGGCACACAAATCTAAGACACTTTCATCTTCACTTAACCACCAAATATCAGGAAATAGAGCTGTGGCTCAAGTGTTAGGATGCCAGCCTTGAGAGAAAAAGCTAGGACTAAGTTCAAGCCCTGGGATTTGTACCAAAAAGAAGAAAAAAAAAATGAGTAAAGACAATTATTTCAAAGAATGAGGTGGAGGGGACAGGAATAGAAGACATCTAATTCATGTTTAACTACTTAAGGTAAAAGAAAAAAAGCAAAAACAAAATGAAAACAAATGAGTGTGGCCTGAGTTTCCCTGGCTTTCTGTCTTGCCAACTGATTTTTTTTTGGTCGGTTGTGGGGCCTGAACTCTGGGCCTGGGCGCTGTCCCACAGCTCTTCAGCTCAAGACTAGTGCTCTACCACTTGAGCCACAGCACCACTTCCAGCTTTTTCTTTTTACATGGTGCTGAGGAATCAAACCCAGGGCCTCATGCATGCGAGGCAAACACTCTACCACTGAGCCACCTTCCCAGCCCCCAAGTGATTTTTTTTATTTTGGTTGGTCATGGGGCTTGAACTCAGGACCTAGGCGCTGTCCCTGACCTCTTTTGCTCAAAACTCATGCTCTACCACTTTCAGCCACAGCAACACTTGCAGTTTTCTAGTGGTTACTTGGAGATAAAGAGTCCCACAGACTACCCGGCCCCGGCTGGCTTCAAACTGCGATCTTCAGATCTCAGCCTCCCATTAGCTAGGATGACAGGTATAAGCTACCAGTGCTTGGCTCCAAGTGACAGCAAGTGATAAGCTTCTACGTATGCATCCATCTGAAACTAAGATATCAACACCACGCAAGCTGGACTTCCAGCTAAATGTATGTTCCCCCTGGCCCCCAATGCTGAGATGGAACCCTGGGCTTCCTATACCCTCAGCCCTGCTCTAGGTGTTTGGATTTTTGGCTGTTGTGGGGCTTGAACTCTGGGTCTGGGCGCTGTCCCTGAGCAATTCACCTCAAGGTGAGTGCTCTACTTGAGCCACAGAGCCACTTCCAGCTTTTTTTTTTTCTTTTGGGTCCGGTCGTGGGGCCTGAACTCTGGGCCTGGGGGCTGTCCCTTAGCTCTTCAGCTCAAGGCTAGCGCTCTACCACTTGAGCCACAGCGCCACTTCCAGCTTTTTTCTTTTTGCTAATGTGGTGCCAGGGCCTCATGCATGCAAGGCAAGCGCCCTACCACTGAGCCACCTTCCCAGCCCCCCACTTCCAGCTTTCTGGTGGTTAATTAGAGATAAGAGTCACGGACTTTCCTGTCCAGGCTGGCTCTGAACCTCAAGCCTCAGATCTCAGCCTCCTGAGTAGCTAGGATGACAGGCGTGACTCACCAGCACCCAGCTTCTAGGGTTCTTTCTTATAGCCACTGAATGGATTAAGGTCACATTACGGCAAGAAGCACGTCCATGGAAAGCCACTGGAGGTAGAGCAGGGGATCGGAACTCGTTCTGCACTGCCCACCGAAGGTGAGTGAAGGGGCCCAGCGGGCATGGGCAGTGACGGCTGTAGACTGGAACTGATACCTGGTAGATGGTGACCTGTGCGCTGAGGTCAGGCTCCACGTGCCGCAGGCCCAGCCTGGCCAGGTCCACAGGATCCTGGGGCAGCTCGCGAGGCACGGGGAACGGGTTGATGTTTTGGAATCGGGTGAACCACAGCCTCATACGCAGGTACTTGAGCATGGGGTAGCTTTTGCGTCCAAATATCTGAATCAGCAGGAACTCCGTGTCTTTGTTGGGCATGACGCCTGGGCGGGGAGATGCAGGGAGAACCACAGGGAGGCAGGGGAGAGGGGAGAGGGAGAATAGAGAAGTCAGGGGATGGGTAATGGACGGGAAGATTAGGATCTGAAGAGAGATATAAAGAAGGAGGCAGGGAAGTGGTGCTGTGGCTCAAGTGGTAGAGCGCTCGCCTGGAACTAAAGAGCTCGGGGACAGCGCCCAGACCCAGAGTTCAAGCCTCACAACTGACCAAAAGAAAAATTTTAAGCTGGGCGCTGGTGGCTCACACCTGTAATCCTAGCTACTCAGGAGGCTGAGATCTGAGGATCACTGTTCAAAGCCAACACAGGCAGGAAAGTCCATGAGATTCTTATTTCCAATGAACCACCAGGAAACCGGAAGTGTCGCTGTGGCTCCAGTGGTAGAGCGCTCGCCTTGAGCTGAAGGACAGCGCCCAGGCCCAGAGTTCAAGCCCCATGACTGACAAAAGAAAAGGAGGCAGGAAAGGGCTGAAGGACAGAAGGAGAGAGTGAAGACGGGTGTTGTGGCACAAGCCTGTAGTTCTGACACTTGGGAGACTGAGACAAGTGGACTGAATTCAAAGCCACACAGCAAGATTCAGTGAGCAGCCTGGGGGAGGGGACAGGAGGAGAGGCGCCCGGATGCCGGGGGAGCGGGGCGGGGGCAGGCCTCACCGAATTTCTCCATCTGCTCCAGGACCGCGATCCCGCACTCCTGCTGCCGCGGGTAGTGGACGAAGATGCGCTGGAAGACGTTGCGGGGCCGGAAGACCTCCTTGGGGAAGACGTCCAGCAGCTGGTTGTAGGCTGCCAGGTCCCGCTCCACGCCGAACTCCCGCATCTTGCTCAGGGCCAAGTAGATGAAGTCCACGTGGCCGCGCCTGCGCACGCTGTACTGGGAAAAGCTCTGCAGGGCGCGCAGGAAGCTCCCCTTGCTCCGATCCGCCCCCGGCGCTCCGAACAGCTCCGCGTGGGGCTGGGGGGCCTGGACTGGCTTCCGCGGGGGCTCAGGCGGGCGGGGCGCCAGGGACGTCTCCTCGCGGGGAGCAGCTACGCCACAGTGGAGGCCTCGTGGGGCCTGGAGGGGCCCCTGGGGAGTAAGGAGCCACAGGCTGGAAACTGGCACCCCCCCAATGACTGGGGTGGAGATGGGGGGGTCGTCAGTTTCATTTTCTGGAAGAGGAAGATGGTGGTAATTCCCAGGGCCTCTGAGCTAGTATGGTAGTGTGGTTACAAAGCCCTGATCACTGAAGTGGGAGAAGACACAGAACTGGGTGGTGGGGCGTGCCTGTAACCCCAGCACTCAGCAGGTAGAGGATGTCCAGTTCCACGTGAGACCCAGCCTCAAATAAAACAAGCCAGGTGTAGGTGGTGGCACATGCCTACAGTCCTAGCTACTCAGGAGGCTGAGATCAGAGGACTGTTCCAAGCCAACCTGGGCAGGAAAGTCTGTGAGTCTTTTTATCTCCAAGGAAAAAACTGCATGTGGTGCTATAACTCAAGTGGTAAAGTGCCAGCCTTGAGCAAAAGGAGCTTAGTTAGATACAGCGCTCAGGCCCAGAGTTCAAGGCTCAGGACTGGCAAAAAAAAAAAAAGCAAAATGCTAGAAATTGAGCTTGTGGCTCAATTGGTAGAGCACCAGCCCTGAGTGAAAGAGCTAAGGAGCAGCACCAGGTACCAGCCCCAGTACTGGCACACACAAAACAAAACAAGATGAAGGCTGGTAGAGGAAGGTAGATCCATTTTCTGAGTTGAGCTTTTTTTTGGGGGGGGGGGGGTCAGTCGTGGGGCCTGAACTCGGCCTGGGTGCTGTCCCTCAGCTCTTCAGCTCAAGGCCACAGCGCCACTTCCGGCTTTTTTCTTTTTGCTTCTGTGGTGCTGAGGAATGGAACCCAGGGCCTCAGGCATGCAAGGCAAGCGCTCTGCCGCTGCGCCACCTTCCCAGCCCCCTACAACCTTAATTTCAAAGTCAACACCCTCACCCATATGTGCACTAGCACCCCTTAATATGCTTTACAAGCCAAATATGTAGCTCATGCCTGTAATCCCAGCCACTCAGGAGGAAAGGACAGAATTGGCAACTGGAGAGCAGTGCGGGCCAAGTTAGCAAGCCCCTAGCTCAAAAAGTGAATACAGGAGCTGACTGAAGTGAAGCCACGGGCACCGGTTTCAGAGGGCGCTGCTTCAGGTCCAATCTGATAGGCAGAGAGCAAACCGCAGCCTCCTCCCTCCCTCCGCACCCCACAACGAATGACCAACCGGCAGTTACCTGAGAGAAGGGGGCTCCCGGGAGGGGAGTCCCACCGATGCCTCCCCAGGCCTTGGAAAGGCCTCGGGCCAGCAGGGTGGCCCGGACCCAGCTCATGCTTCAGACAGTCAGTCCACCACCTGGTGAAGACGGGAGACGGCAGTAAGGTGGCAGTCCGCCTGCGCAGAGAGAGTCCATGGGAAGCCAACCAGCCTCCGCGAGTCCCAGGCCCCCGCCCAGGTCCTGGGTCTAGGGTGCCACACAATTCTCTCTCAGTAGGAAATTGTTCATGGAATGGGCTCTTCACTACTGGATCATTAAACAACAAAATACTGAGCTGGGTGATGTGGCCCAAACCTGTCATCCCAGCTACTCAGAGGCTGAGATCTAAGGATTGCAGTTCAAAGCCAATCCCGGCAAGAAAGTCCGTGAGACTCGTCTCCAGTTAATCACCAGGAGACATGGAGTAGCGCTGTGCCTCAAAGTGGTAGAGCGCTATCCTTGAGCAAAAGAGTCTGGCTAGTGTCCAGGCTCCTGAGTTCAAGTCCCACAACCAACAAAAAAAATTTTTTTTCCATGTGTGTTTATTCATTTATTTTGGTGCCAGTCCTGGGGACTCAACTCAGAGCCTGGGCACTGTCCCAAACTTCTCCCTCTTCCCCCCGCCACCCCCTCCCCCCAGTCCTGAGGCTTGAACTCAGGACCTGGGCACTGTCCCTGAGCTGCTTTTGCTCAAGGCTAGCACTGTGCTTCTTGAGCTACAGTGCCATTTCTGCTTTTTCCTGTTTATGTGGTGCTGAGGAATCAAACCCAAGGCTTCATGCATGCTAGGCAAGCGCTCTACCACTAAGCCACAGGCCCAGAACCTTGAGCTGCTGCTTTTTTTTTTTTGTCGGTCATGGGCCTGAACTCTGGGCCTGGGCGCTGCCCCTCAGCTCTTCAGCTCAAGGCTAGCGCTCTACCACTTGAGCCACAGCGCCACTTCCAGCTTTTTTTTTTTTTTTGCTTATGTGGTGCTGAGGAATCGAACCCAGGGCCTCAGGCATGTAAGGCAAGCGCTCTACCACTGAGCCGCCTTCCCAGCTCCTATGTTTTTGTTTTTCTGTCAGTCCTGGAGCTTCAACTCAGTACCTGGGTGCTGTCCTTACCTTTTTCACTCAAGGCTAACACTCTACTACTTGAGCCACATCTCTACTTCTGGCTTTTTGCTGATGCGCTGGAGGTAAGGGTCTTTGACTTTCCTGCTGGCTTGGAATGGTGATCCTCAGATCTCAGCCTGCTGAGAAGCAAGGATGACAGGCGTGAGCCACCAGCGCCCAGACTTTATTTCTGATTTGTTCAGTGTCTTCCACCCTCAGAGATGTGGGGTGTCCTCCTTACTGCTGTGTCCCCAGCATCGGGGCAGGGCCTGGCATGTGGTAAATTAGTGCCTGACAAATTGCCAAACAACTGAGAAGAAGCGGGAAATTTTAAGGAAAACACTACAAATCGGAACCCCGACGTAGGCCGGCTGCCAGCACCGGGGGATCCCCAGGGAAAACAGGTTCCAGTGCCAGCCTCACTGCCGACTGCTGTGTGACCTCGGGCCACAGCCGTAACCTCTCTGAGCCAAACGGGTCACGAGGGCAGTCACTGCGCGAGCAACCCAACCCCGCACCCCCCGAAAGGTCACAGCGCTCTCGCCTGACAGCCGAGGCCCTCCATGCGAACGACCTCCGGGGACTCCAGACACAGAACGGGACCCTCGGGACACCCAGCGCCTCGAGTTCGAGTCCCCTCCACGCGTAACCTCACCTCCTCACGCGGCCGGCCACGGACTCCGGGCCGGCGGCGTCCTAGCGGCGGGCGCCGCCATGTCGACCCAGAGCGAGAGAGAGAAACGGCGAATCATGAAGGCCAGTTTGGTAAGTCCCGCCCCCAAGGGGATATTCACCAATAGGAAGGAGGAAACACGTGGGCCGCGCCTCCGGGCGCGCCAGGCTTGAGCCCCCCTCGCGCAGGCGCGCGGCGGGGTCGCCGGGGTCGCCGGGGGCGCGGCCGGGTCCGGGGCAGTCCTCGGAGGCCCGTCGGAGACCCCGCCCGTGCCAGCCGAGCCGCGGGGAGAGCGTTATTATCCTGGGGCTGGAACTCAGGGCCCGGGCGCCGCCTTGGTACCGGTGACCCCATCGAGGCACCGACGGCTCACCCCGAGCGCGGCTGGAGAAGCGGAGTGAGCCGCGGGCGTCTGCGCATGCGCCCCTCGGAGGGCGGAAGTGCGTCTCCTCGGGGGGGGGGGGGTCCCGCGGTGGAGCGGGAAGCCCCGGGTTCGATTCCCCGGCGGGCCCGCGCGCGGGTGGCGGGAGCCAGGCCCGCCTCTCTGCCAGTCTGGGGGCTTGACTTGCAGGCCTGGCTCAGCCCCACGACGTCGCTGGCTCAAGGCTAGCACTCCACCGCGTGAACCACCGCACCACTTCTGGCTTCTCCTGTGATCACTTGGAGCTGAGTCGCACGGACTTTTCCGGCCCGGGCTGGCTTCGAACCGCGATCCTCAGATCGCAGCCTCCTGAGTAGCTGGGATGACAGGCGCGAGCCACCGGCACCCGGCCAGGATTCTTGTATGTTTGAACTAATCTATACAAAACAGCCTTCTAAGTACAGTGTGTGTTGCTGTTCTGATAGGGATTTATCCTAGGGTTCATTCCCTCCCCATCTGGAAGTTCCAGGAGTCTAGTTTGCTTCCTAAGACCACTCACCCTCAGGGTCTGGGGTTCCTGTGTGGTGGTGTGTTTGTGCTAAAGCTGTGGTGCACCTGTGGGTGCACAAATACGTGTGTATCTTTGTGATGTTGGAATAATGTGTTTTTTTTTTAACTTTACAGTGTCTCAAACCTCCAGCAAAGCTATAGAAGTGTGCACATAACCATGAGAATATGGGTCAACAAAAAGAAGGGAGTCAGGGATGGTCCGTGTGTGTGTGTGTGTGTGTGTGTGTGTGTGTGTGTGTGAGCCAGCCAGTCTGGGCATTAGTCGTATGACAGTCTGCTAAGGTGTATGTTTCCACAGTACGCCTTTATTTGTACTAACTTCTGGATCTCTGCCCAATCCTGGGGAGATTGGAATTTAACCCACAACTGAGGGGCAGGCAGTATTCGAACCAACCAGCCTCTATGATCCTTCCCATGCTTCTTCATTGCATACATAACCTGGACAGACCATCAGTGGGAGCTGGGGGCGTGGCTACCTGCTGGGGCGTGGTCATGCACTGGGGGCGTGGTTCTATCACAGGGGGTGTGGTTAATCCGTAGAGTGCCTGCCTAGTGAGTTCAAAGCCCTGAGTTGAACCTTCAGTACTGAACCACCATTAGGTCACTTATGAGGATAAATGATTGTGTCCTACTGTTAAAATACCTAACGTGACACCACTTACCTATTCCTCGGAGTGTGATTGTGACTCTCTAAGTACCTGATTTTTTTTGTCGGTCGTGGGGCTTGAACTCTGGGCCTGGGCGCTGTCCCTCAGCTCTTCAGCTCAAGGCGAGTGCTCTACCACTTGAGCTACAGCGCCACTTCCGGTTTCTGGTGGTTTATTGGAGATAGGAGTCTCACAGTCTCTCCTGCCCGGGCTGGCTTTGAACCGCGATCCTCAGATCTCAGCCTCCTGAGTAGCTAGGATTACAGGCGTGAGCCACCAGCGCCCGGCTTAAGTACCTGATTTTTTATTTATTTATTTATTGCTGGTCCTGGGACTTCAACTCAGGGCTTAGGCGCTGTCCCTGAGCTTCTTTGGCTCAAGGCTAGCACTCTACCACTTGAGCCACAGCATCACTTCCGGCTTCTTCTGTGTATGTGGTAGTGAGGTTTCATGCATGCTAGGCAAGCACTCTACCACTGAGCCACCTTCCCGGCCCTACCCGATTTTTTTTTTTATGACATAACTGACCATACTCACCCTCCTTCCCCCCTCCTCCTGTTGATGCCAGTTCCTCAACACAACCTGTTTTCCTCTCCTGACACTCATTCTGGCTTCAAACTGCCATCCTCAGAAACAAGCCTCCTTCCTAAATAGCTGAGATTACAGGCGTGAGCCATAGGCACTGGAGTCTCTTGAACATGCAGTCTTGCAAAGAACCCTATGATTAATAGCTTCACAGTGGAGGGTCCTGGCAGACAACACCTTAACCCAGGAGCCATGATTGCGCTCACCATCCGTGAGTCACAGTGACATCATGGTGATGCACTGAAGAGGTCACAACATCACCTCTCTGGAAGCCTTCCCAGCAACTGCAAAAACCTCAGACTAATCAAGACAAGCCAAATCAAGAGGCAGGCAGTATACAAAATAATTGATGAGTACCCTTCACAAGAGTCAGAGCTGAAAGGATGGTGACATACTTGTGAAATATAAAGAAGCACAGAAATGAACTGTAATGGGCCACGAACCAGTGGCTCACAGCTGTAACTGTAGCTGAGATCTGAAGGATCGTGTTCAAAGCCAGACTGGGCAGGAAAGTCTGAAAGACTCTTATCCATAATGAACCATCAAGGGGCTGGACGTGGAGCTGTGGTTCAAGTAGTAGAGCACTACTTTAGCCTGGAGCTAAAAAGCTCTGGTCCTGACTGTAAGCTCAGATACCCATTCTCCCTACCCTCCAAGAAAGAAGGTTCGTAAAATAAATGCAATTACAGTGGTTACGCTAGGACAGGAACTCAGGTCTGTGTTGCATTGGGGAAATTTGCAGCACTTTTGGGACTGAGGGTAGTAGAAGGTGCTGGGAACTGAACCCAGAATCTCAATTAAGATCAAAGTACCCACTGACTTCCAGATGCAAGTACTTCTGTGAATAGCTCAACCCCTGTCCACCATCTGACAGGCAGTTTGGTGGAGTGTGGGGGGGGGGGGGGGATGAGCCACACTTCCACTTCTGATCTTTCATTGGTTACATTGCAGATAGTCTCTGGGAAGCCAGGGCTGGGAATCCTAGCTACTCAGGAGGCTGAGATCGAGGATCATGGTTCAAAGCCAGCCCCGGCAGGAAAGTCCATAAAACTCTTATCTCCAATAAACTTCTCAGAAAAAGCTGGGAATGGCGCTGTGGCTCAAGGGTGGAGTGCCAGCCTTGAATACTGTTAGGTTTTTAAAAAGAGGTAACCGAGTAAGAACTGCAGCAGCACGCACATGGTATTCAGGTAAGGGGTAGGTTTATTCAGTAGACCTGCTGGGACCAGGCAAGGTTGGCACTCCATGTGGCTGGGAAAGAGAGAGAGCAAGAAAAGAACAGAGAGAGCTAGTACAGAGAAAGCAAGAAAAGAGCAGAAAAGAAGAGCAAGAGCAAGGGAGGAAGAGAGCGTCTGGGCCTGGGCTAGGCATTATGTAGGGTATGGGCGGGGAAAGGTGTGGCCACATCAAATTCAGATGTGACCTCTTCCAGGTGTCCCAGTTGCCTAGGTAATGCAGGTAATGGGTGGAGACTTTACTGCGAGGAGGGTGGAGTCTGCTAGCCATCTAGGAGCGGACCTTACAAATACCAAGAGGCTCAGGTGCCCAGGCCCTGAATTCAAGCCCCAGGACAGGCTCACGCACACAGACACAGTCTCTTGGACTTTTCTGCTCAGGCTGGCTTTGAACTGTGGACCTCAGATCTCAACTTCCCAAGTGGCTAGGATTACAGGCGTGAGCCACCGGAGTGACCAGGCAGACATCTTGCAGAAAGTGTTTCCATTGGGCAGGAACTGTGATGCAAAGGCCCCGCGGTGGGAATCCTTCAGGCCCGGGCGTCAGGATTTCCCTTTGACATGTTCCTGGCTCCACCAGCTTTTGTTCCTTCCTTACAAGACCCCACATTTAGGTGGGAAACTGAGGCACAGAGGGGCCTAGGGCCTCGAAAATGCCAGGTAGAGCTGAGTTCAGGGATTGCACAGGGGTAGTTCGTTTTGAGGTTAGCCCTAGAGATGGCACTGGCTGCCTGTGCGGCTGCCCCTACTCCCGTCTACCTGACGGTGATACAGGGAGAAACTGAGTCACACTGTCCACACCGACATCGAGAGAACACAGCACGACAGGCGGAGAGACAAAAGAGCCGTCTCTTCGGGGGGCTGGAGGGAGGGGGAGCCCTGAGCTGTCTATTCCGGGGTGAACCAAGCCCCCCCCCCGCCCCCGTCATGCCTGGGCGGTGACTTCAGAGCCCGAGCGGATTCTATAAATGGCCAAGCGGCCACCAGCCGGGGAGCCCGCGCCGGGTGAGTCAGCGCGTGACGTCACCGCCGTCCGGACGCAACGCCCCGCCCCTCCCACCGCCGCGCCCCGCCCCCAGGGGCGGCCGCCAGGGGGCGCTGGGCAGCGCGGCCCCGCACATGCGCAGACACGGCCTGTGCAGGCCAGCGGGACTCAGGCGTCGGTCCCCGGTCCCCCGGAATCCCACCCACCTCTGCCACCTGCGATCGGCTGCTGACCTCTGGGGACCCACCCACCCACCCCCAAGGGACAGGAAGGCCCGGGGTGCTGCTTGGACCGATTTACGCAGCCCCCATGTCAGGTCGAGAAACCCGAGCCTCACGGCAGAAAGGGAAAGGGCCTGAGCTCAAATTCTGCTCTGCCACCGCCCAGGGACCGGGATTTCACTCCCCCAGGACTCAGTTTCCCCGGCTGTCCAGGGCTGCTGTGTTCTGTCAGGGTCCGCCAGAGAGGGTGTTGTGAGGATTGAGGGGTGATGTGGCCACAGGGTGTTGTGGGCGATGCCTGTAATCCCGGCTCCTTGGGAGGCTGAGAGAAGAGGATCAAGCGTTTGAGGCACCAGCCTAGCGCCATGGCTCACGGCTGTCGTCTTAGCTACTCAGGAGGCTGAGATCTGAGGATCACAGTTCGATGCCAGTCCAGGCAGGAAAGTCTGTGAGACTCCTATCTCCAATAAGCTACTCAGAAAAAGCCGGAAGCAGCACTATGGCTCAAGTGGTAGAGTGCTAGCCTTGAGCACAAAGAGGCTCAGGGACAGTGCCCAGGCCCTGACTTCAAACCCCAGGACTGGCAGAAAAAAAAAAAAAAGCTGGTGTGGAGTTATGGATCAAGTAGTAGAGTGCTAGCCTTGAGTAGAAAAGCTCAGGGATAGCACGCAGGCCTTGAGTTCAAGCCCTAGGACAGGCAGTAACAACAACCAAAAGGAGTCTGCGGTCAACCTGAGAAATTTAGTGAGATCCTATCTCAAAATAAAATTTAAAAGGGGCTGGAGTTTCAGGGTGCTGGATGTACCTGTCATCCCAGCTACTCAGGAAGCTGAGATCTGAGGATCACAGTGCAAAGCCAACCGGGGCAGGAAAGTCCATGAGACATTTTTTGCTAGTCCTGGGGCTTAAACTCTGGGCCTGGGCGGTCTCCTTTAGCTTCTTTTTGCTCAAGGCTAGCACTCTACCACTTGAGCCACAGGGCTACTTCTGGCTTTTTCTGTGTATGTGGTACTGAGGAATGGTACCCAGGGCTTCATGCATGCAAGGCAAGCACTCTACCATTGAGCCACCTTCCCAGGCCATCCATGAGACTCTTATTTCCAACTAACCACCAGAAAACTAAAAGTGGCACTGTGGCTGCAAGTGTAGAGTGCTAGCCTTGAGCAGAAAAGCTCAGGGACAGTGCCCATGCCCTGAGTTCAAGCCCCACAACCCCTCTCCCCCCCCCAAAAAAAAAAAGGTAGAGTGTTTGCCTAGCATCCAAGATGCCCTGGGTTCAGTCCTGAACATGGCAAAACATAAAGGAAGAAAAAGAAAAAAAAGAAGGGAGGGAAAGCTGTTCTCATATTGGCATACCCATAGCTGTACCCGTAGCAAATTGCTGGGCCAGCAAATTGCATGTTCTTAACACATCATTAGTAGCTGGCAGGTTGCTGGTGTGTCATCCTGGACGTGACAAATGTGGTGTGATATTGGGGTGGCATGTCCCCCCTGTGGTCCAGAGGGGAGAGCTGGCAATAAGAGTCTGCAGTCCAGCACTGGTGGCTCACACCTGTAATCCTACCTGCTCAGAAAGCTGAGATCTCAGGATCACAGTTCGAAGCCAACAAGGGAAGGAAAGTCCATAAGGCTCTTCTCTCCACTAAACTAACCAAAGAAGCCAGAAAAGGCGCTGTGGCTCAAGAGGTACACCAGCTTTGAGCAAAAGCAACTCAAGGACAACAGCCAGGCCCTGAGTTCAAGCTCCAGACCGGATCGGCACAAATCAAAAGCCAGAAGCAGAGTTGTGTTTCCAGTGGTAGGGTTCCAGCCTTGAGGCAAAAAGCTGGACAGTACCCAGGCTCTGAGTGTAGCCCTAGGACCAGTGTGCATACACGCCTGTGTGCACATGTGTGTGTGTGTGGGGGGGTGTCTGCAGACAAGTTCAAGGTAGGCTGGTGTAGGTGGGGGCCTAGGAGGGATATTTATGACCCAGAACCTGATAACATAGTCACCCCATTGCTCAAGTGACCCCCAGATGAGTGGAGGACATAAAGCCAGGATCTTGGGCTGGGAAGGTGGTTCAGTGGTAGAGTGCTTGCCTTGCATGCATGAAGCCCTGGGTTTGATTCCTCAGCACCACATAAGCAGAAAAAGCCAGAAGTGGTGCTGTGGCTCAAGTGGTAGAGGGCTAGCCTGGAGCTGAAGAGCTGAAGGACAGCGCCCAGGCCCTGAGTTCAGGCCCCACGACCAAAAATCAATCAATCAATCAATCCAGGATCTTGCTGCTTGATCAGTTCCTTATGAGATGCTAGAGGGGTCAGAAAAAAGGTCCCAGATTTCCAATGGGGGAAAAAAACCAACCTGAGTCTCTCTGCCTGTGTCACATCAGAGGTGGATACAGTATTCGCAAGGAGTGAGGCTCCATTCATCCATCCATCCATCCATCCATCCATCCATCCATCCATCCATCCTATCTGGGGGTGTGTGTGTGTTGAACTCAGGCCCTGACTTCTGTCCTTAAGCTCTTGTGCTCAAAGTAAGTGCTCTACCACTTTGAGCCACAGCACTACTTCTGGTTTTCTGGTGGTTCATTGGAGATGAGTCTCATGGCTCACACCTGTAATCCTAGCTACTCAGGAGGCTGAGATCTGAGGATTGAGGTTCAAAGCCAGCCCAGGCAGGAAAGTCCATGAAACTCTTATCTCCAATAAACTACCAGAAAACTGGAAGTGGTGCTGTGGTTCAAGTGGTAGAGCACTTGCCTTGAGCTGAAGAGCTGAGGGACAGCACTCAGGTCCAGAGTTCAAGCCCCATGACTGGAAAAAAAAAAAAAAAGAGCCTCATGCACTTTACTGTTTGGGCTGGCTTTGAACAGTCCCTCCCCGCCCCCCCAGCTCCACCACCCATTCTCAGATTCAGCCTCCTGAATAGGGAGGATACCAGGTGGAAGCTACTGACCCCTGGCTTGGGCACCATCTGTTGAAGTTTTTAATCCGAGTATGGCTGGTACTTTACCACTTGAACCACATTTCCATTTCTGGCTCTTTGTTGATGAATTGGAGAGTCTCGTAGACTAGACTTTCCTGCCTGGGCTGGCTTTGAATTGTGATCATCAGAGCTCAGCCTCCGGACTAACTAGGATTACTGGCGTGAGCTTTCAGTGCCTACATCTGTCTGTCTGTCTGTCTGTCTGCTCTATCTCTCTGTTCGACTAGTCTTCCATCTATATCTATGATCCTATCTACCCTGTCAGTCTATCCTCTCTATTTTACTAATCATTTATTCTATCTACCTTATCTATTTTTTGTCTATCTTCTATCCCTCCTAACTATCCATCATCTATCTGTATCAATCATTAGCCCATTTTATAGATGAAGCAATAGAGACCGGAGAGAATAGACTTTCATTGGGATCTGGAACTAAGTCCAGGAAAGTCTTTCTCCAGGACCCCAGAAGGACAAATCACAGGGCTGACTCAGAGATAAACAGACTCAGCGACCAGCAACCACCCCCCACCCACCCCCCAGAAAGTTGGCCTTGCCTGACCCAAGACCCCCTCCCATAATAACGCGGGCTGCTCCCCAACACCCTGGGGCGGAAACAATGACATAATCAGCTTTCAATACCAAGGCCCTGACATCACGAAGGGGGGGTGGCCAAGGTGAGGGGTTGCCCCGCCCCTTGGCAGGCCCGTCGTCCAATGGGAGGGCCTTGGAAGAGACCCGGGCAGCTTTGGGAGCTTCAAAAACGTGTGAGGAGGGAAGAGAGCACAGACAGCCTTCAGCCAGGCAGCCAGGAGCTCACAGCACACCATGTCCTCCGCTCACTTCAACCGAGGCCCTGCCTACGGGCTGTCCGCTGAGGTCAAGAACAAGGTAGGGGGGCTGGGAAGGTGGCTCAGTGGTAGAGCGCTTGCCTTGCATACATGAGGCCCTGGGTTCGATTCCTCAGCACCACATAAGCAGAAAAAAAAAAGCTGGAAGTGGTGCTATGGCTCAAGTGGTAGCGTGCTAGCCTTGAGCTGAAGAGCTGAGGGACAGTGCCCAGGCCCAGAGTTCAGGCCCCACGACTGAACCCCCCCAAAAATAACCCAACAAGATAGGGATGCAGGACTGCGTGACTGGTTCCCCACTATCTACCACACTTGGGGTTCCCTGAGCCCCCTCTTGCAGATCTCATGTGACTTATGAAAGGGAATGACTCTGTTCTTTGCCTTGTGAACATCCCAGAGCCCTAACCTACTTTTTTTTCGGGGTGGGGGGAGGGATGGAGAGGGGAGCACCCAGTTCCCCCCCCCCACCATATACAGAGGTGAGCACAGCCTTGCCTTGCAAAGATCAACCCTTGATCAAAATCCTTCATCCAGCTTTCGTGTTCTTGGAGAGAGGATGAAGGAGAAAAACATGATTTTTCTCAGCATGATAAAGAATAAAGAAATGGGGAGGGGGTGCCTTCTTCCCTGGGAAGAAAGAAAAGTTGGGGAGTAGCAAAGAAGACACTCACCTAGCCCAGAGAAGATATCTGGGAGTGGGTGTCAGGAGCCTCACAGGGCGAGATTCCTAGCTTTGGATTCCAAAAGATACTGACATGCTTGCTTGGTGCTCTGGATGGGTAAACTGAGGCTCGAGCTGGAGAGACAGGCAAGTAGTGAGCATCGGAGGTGATCTAAGGCAGGTGGGAGGAGGGGCTGGAACCGTAAAGTCACCCCCTATTCCACGAGCCCCTCCGGGTTTCTACTGTAAAGGGAGGGGGCCCCGAAGGCCCCATTTCATGGAAAGGAACACTGAGGTTTGGCTCTGTGTGTGTGTGTGAGAGAGAGACTTGTCCCAGCGTCTCACAGAGAGGAATCTGGGAGCCGGGGATATTTGGCGGATCTTTTTGGGGGGGTGAGGAGGGGATGGGGGCGGGGGGAGCTCAGACTAGAGGCAGATGGCTGCGCCGCCCCCTCCCCCAGCACGGCCGGCGGCTCCTGGAGCCCTCGCTCCTTATAAGGTGACCTTGGGGAGCCAGGCCTGCGCTATATAAGGGCCGGTTCACTTTATAAAGCCAGGCTGGTGGGGAGGGGGGCCGCCGGGCCTGGGTCAGGTGCGGGGCTTCCCCCCTTCTCCTCCCTCCCCACCCTGGACAAAGAGCATCCCACACACACAGAGGAAGCCCGGAAGGGGAAACTGAGGTGCTGGCTGCCTTTATCCCCCCAGAACCAAGGGAGCTGGACACACTGATCGACAAGGGACCGAGTGAACCCCACAAGCTGGACATGGGGACCCATGAGACTGGGTCAGTGGGGGACAGAAAGAGAGGAGAGATGGGCTGGGGAGAGAAACAGAAACCCAGCCAGGCAGGGGTGAGGAAGGTGTGGAAAGCAGGACCCCCCCTCCCTGCCCCCCACTCCCTAATCCTGAAACAAAGCCCCCCTGGGGCGAAGTCAGGGGATGGATTCTCAAAGACAGAGAAGTATGGGTCCCTGGGGAACCCCAGCTTCGGATGCCCTGTCTCCCCGCCCCCTAAAGGGGAGGGGTGATGGGGGCAGGGCTGGGGGAAGCTAAGCCCCAAGTTTGGCTTGGAGGGTGAACCAGGAGGCCAGGCGCCTCCTCCCACCCCCCCCAGCCCCCCAGCATCATTGTCAGACTCTCCGGCCCCCCCTCACCCACATTCTCTGGAGCCAAACCTGAAAATGCCCGGAATGAGCCCCCTAGTCAGGTGCCACCTCCCCTGGCTGGAGCCCTGCCCGCTCCCCCCATAGACGGGGGGGGGGGGCCGGGGAGGGGAGATTGCCTTAGTTGGGATGGCTGAGGGAGGCAATCGGGACCTGGGGAGCCCCCCAAAACTCTGTGTCTCCTGTGCCCCCCTCCCACACCCCCCAGCTGGCCCAGAAGTACGACCACCACCGCGAGCAGGAGCTGCGGGAATGGATCGAGGGAGTGACCGGCCGGCGCATAGGCAACAACTTCATGGATGGCCTCAAAGATGGCATCATCCTCTGCGAGTAAGTTGGGGTTCTCTTGAACCCAGACCCTGATGCTCCCCCTTAAACAAATCCCTAGATTCTCATTTCTACATTGCACCTCAGCCTCCTCCAAGGGCCACTTCATATAAACGCCCGTGGGCTGCAGTGGTAAAAGACCAGGTAGCCCAGAACTCACCAGCTTCCTCCCTCCATCTTCAGAGTGCCGGGATTACAGGTGTGCACCACCCTGCCCCTGCCCAGCTGGCTCATTGTTATACCTGTTGATTTATGTAGTGCTGGTACTGGGGCTTGAACTCAGGGTCTGGGCGCTGCCCCTTAGCTCTTTCCACACAAGGTTGGAACTCTTCCACTCGAGCCACAGCTCTACTTTGGGCTTTTTTGCTGCTTCATTGGAGATAAATCTTATGGACTTTCCTGCCTGGGCTGACTTTGAACTGAAATCCTCAGATCTCAGCCTCCTGAGCAGCTCTGTTATGCCCCTCCCCTTTCTTTTTTTGTTTTTTTTTTTTTGTCGGTCATGGGTCTTGAACTCTGGGCCTGGGTGCTTACTCAGCTCTTCAGCTCAAGGTGAGCGTTCTACTACTTGAGCCACAGTGCCACTTCCAGTTTTCTGGTGGTTCATGGGAGATGAGTCTCACTGACTTTCCTACCTGGGCTGGCTTTGAACCGTGATCTTCAGATCTCAGCCTCTTCAGCAGCTAGGATGACTGGTGTGAGCTATCAGCGCCAGGCTGTCATGCCCGTTTAATGGATAAGCTGCTGAGCAGCTTGAGAGACAGACATTAAAGATCACAGTTCTAACACAAGAAAGTTATGAAGACCCCATCTTAAAGACTGAGGCAGGCCAGACACCAGTGGCGCACACCTAGAATCCTAGCTATTCAGGAGGCTGAGATCTGAGGATTGAGGTTTGAAGACAGCCTGGGCAGAAAAGGCCCCATGAGACTTTATGTATTTATTTATGTATTTATTTATTTATTGCCAGTCTTGGGGCTTAAACGTGAGGCCTGGGCACTGTCCCTGAGCCTCTTGGTTCAAGGCTAGTGTTCTACCACTTGAGCCACAGCTCCACCTCTAGCTATTTCTGAGTTGTTTATTGGGAATAAGAGTTTCTCAGATTTTTCTGCCAGGGCTGGCTTCGAACCGCGATCCTCAGATCTTAGCCTCCAAGAGTAGCTAGGATGACAGTCGTGAGCCACACACACCACGCTCCAATGAGACGCTTGTCGGCAATTAAGCACTCAAAAAAACAACAAAAACAAAAACTCAAAGTGGAGCTGTATGTGGCTCAAAGTGGTACAGCGCTAGCCTTGAACAGAAGAGCTCAGGGAAGGGCTGGGAAGGTGGCTCAGTGGTAGAGTGCTTGCCTCGCATGCATGAGGCCCTGGGTTCGATTCCTCAGCACCACATAAGCAGAAAAAAAGCTGGAAGTGGTGCTGTGGCTCAAGTGGTAGAGCGCTCGCCTTGCGCTGAAGAGCTGAGGGACAGCGCCCAGGCCCAGAGTTCAGGCCCCACGACTGACAAAAAGAAAAAAGAAAAAAAAAAAAAAGGAGAGAGAACCATATTGCTAACGGATCGGAAAAGTTACTCCCTGCAGCTCTGAGTCTTCCCCGCCCCCCCCCAGTGCTCCCTTGGAAAGCATGCTGAGGGAGAAGGCCCAGTCTCAGCCTCCCCAAGCCCCAGGTGGAGGGAGTGGGGGGGGAGGTGGGGGGGAGGAACAAAGAATGAGGGCCCCGAGGTGGGCTGCTCAGGCCTCAGAAAACACAGTGGCAGGACTTTGAGGTGCAGCTTAGTGATAAGGCACATGCTTAGTTTATACAATGCCAACCCAAACCCATCTGTAAGCCCAAAGCTGCTGTAATCCCAGCTACTCAGGAGGATGAACGCGGAGGATCCACATTTGAAGCCAGCCCAGGTGGAAAAGTTCCTCAGATTCTCTCTCTCTCTCTCCCTTCCACCCTCCTCTCGACGCTGGTCCTGAGGCTTGAACCCAGGTCCTGGAAATTGTCCCTTAGCTTTTTTGCTCAAGGCGAGCATTCTACCACTTGAGCCACAGCACCACTTCTGGCTTTTTTGGTGGTTCACTGGAGATACAACGTTGGTGCGGGGGGGGGGGAAGGGGGGAAGGAGAAAGATTGGGATTGGGGGGGAGGGGGGGGGCTGGGAAGGGATGTGAAGGGTAAACAAAAGGAGGAGGCTGCAATGCTTGGTAAGAAATGTACGCATTATCCTGCCCATGTAATTGTAACCCCTCTGTACAGTATCTTCACAAATAAAATAAAATAAAATAAAAAAGAATCTCATGGCTGGGTGCTGGTGTCTCACATCTGCAACCCTAGCTTCTCAGGAGGCTGAGATCTGAGGATCATGGTTAAAGCCAGCCCAGGCAGGAAAGTCCGTGAGACTCTTTTTTTGTGGTTGGTTATGGGGCTTGAACTCTGGGCCTGGGCGCTGTCCCTCAGCTCTTCAGCTCAAGGCGAGCGCTCTACCCCTTGAGCCATGGTTTTCCGGTGGCTCATTGGAGACAACTGTCTCAAGGACTTTCCTGCCCCAGCTGACTTTGAACTGTGATCCTCAGATTTCAGCCTCCTGAGCAGCTAGGATGACAGGCGTGAGCCACTGGCGCCCAGCAAGTCTGTGAGACTCTTATCTCCAAAAAACTATCTGGGAACAGGAAGTGACACTGTGGCTCACGTGATAGAATGCTCGCCTTGACCGAAAGAAGCTCAGAAACAATGCCTAGGCCCTGAGTTCAAGCCCCACGACAGACTGGGGGAAAAAAAATTCTCATCGAGCCAGGCACCCATGGCTCATGCCTGTCATCCTAGCTACTCAGGGGGCTGAGATCTGAGGATTGCGGTTCAAAGCCAGCTCAGGCAGGAAAGTTCGTGAGACTCTTGTCTCCAATAAACCATTAGAAAACTGGAAGTGGTGCTGTGGCTCAAGCAGTAGAGCGCTCGCCTTCAGCTGAAGAGCACAGGGACAGTGCCCAGGCCCAGAGTTCAAGCCCCATGACAGACCAAAAAAAAAAAAAGTCTCATGACTTTTCCTGCCCAGGCTGGCTTTGAACTGCGATCCTCATATCTCAGACTCCTGAGTAGCTAGGATGACAGGCGTGAACCACCAGCACCCAGCTTTAGGGAGCCTCATCTCCAATGAGCCACCAAAAAGCCAGAAGTAGATCTGTGACTCAAGTGGCAGAGCACCAGCTGCGTGGAAGAAGCCAAATGAGAGCATGAGGCCCTGAGTTCAAGCCCCAATACCAGCACAAAGAGAAAAGCAAAACACGTAGCTAACCAACCAACCAGCCATTCGGTTATTTGTGCAACACACATTCATGGAGACACTACTGTGTGCAGACCTCGGGTTAAGGCCTGGGGACCGTGAACCAAAATGCCGCCACTGGGAACAGAGAAGAAGCTACAGTCCCAATGAGGGGCAGCAAGCAAAGCCAAAGCAGCGAGGAGGGGAGGGTGAGAGGCAGCTGGGGGGCAGGGCAGGCGCCGTGTCTACAGCCTGGGTTAGAAGGTGATATTTGAGTTGAACTTGGGATGAAGGGAGGGAAGGAGGTGTGAGAGTTGCTGAGGAGAGTATTTGGCCAAGTCACAGGTCCTGAGGTAGCCCGTGGCCAAGTAAACGACTGAGCGGAAATGGGGGGAGAGGGAGAATTCAGTGCAGGTGGGCTTTAGTCATGCCAAACAGTTTGCATTTTGTTCTGGATGCAGTTCTGCTTCATGTGTAGTACTGGGGTTGGAATTCAGGGCCTCATGCTGGGTGTTCTACCACTTGAGCCATGTTTCCTCATCTTTTTGCTTTAGGAATTTTTTTTTTTCGAGTCTCCTCCTTTGCTTGTGCCATTTTTGGTTTTTCTTTTCTTTTCTTTTTTTTGGGGTTCGGTCGTGGGACCTGAACTCTGGGTCTGGGTGCTGTCCCTCAGCTCTTCAGCTCAAGGTGAGCGCTCTACCACTTGAGCCACAGCACCACTTCTGGCTTTTATCTTTTTGCTTATGTGGTGCTGAGGAATCGAACCCAGGGCCTCATGCATGCAAGGCAAGCACTCTACCACTGAGCCACCTCCCCAGCCCCCATTTTTGGTTTTTCTTTTGTATGTATGTGTCCCTACCGGGACTTGAACTCAGGACCTGGGTGCTGGATGCCTGGCTCCTAGGTATTTTACAGTACAACTTCCCTCCTTGCACTTACTAGATATGTCCAGTGCTCAATCCCTTGGTGATTATTTGGAGATAAGAGTCTCATGGACTTTCCCGCCTGGGCTGGCTTCGAACTGTGAGCCTCAGATCTCAGCCTCCTGAATAATTAGGATTACAGGCATAAGCTATCAGTGCCTGGCTTATTTTTTATTTGTATGTATTTATTTTTGCCATTTCTGAGGCTTGAACTCAGGGCCTGGGCACTGTCCCTGAGCTGCTTTTGCTCAAGGCTAACACTCTACCACTTGAGCCACAGTACCACTTCCAACTTTTTCTGCTTATGTGGTGCTGAAGAATTGAACCCAGGGCCTCATGCATATGAGGCAAGCACTCTACCACTGAGCCACCTTCCCAACCCCTATTATTATATTATTATAAGACAGGGGCTGGGCACTGGTGGTTCACATCTGTAATCCTAGCTCCTCAGGAGGCTGAGATCTGAGGATCGCGGTTTGAAGCCAGCCCAGGCAAGAAAGTCCCTAAGACTCTTACCTCCAATGAACTACTCAGAAAAAGCTGGAAGTGGTGCTGTGGCTCAAATTGTAGAGTGCTAGCCTTGAACAAAGAGACTCAGGGACAGTACCCAGAAAAACAGAGGTCCATGTGGACTCCCTGATTTGTCTTCACAAAAACAAAACAGAAAAAAAAGGCCATGGAAAGCATGTGTGGTGGTGCACACTATAATCCCAGCTACTCAGGAGGCAGAGAAAGGAAGATCTCAAGTTTGAGGCTAGTCTGGGAAAAAGTTATCAAATCTATTATAACAAAACAAAATAAAAGCTGGGTGCTGGTGGCTCACACCTGTAATCCTAGCTACTCAGGAGGCTGAGATCTGAGGATCACAGTTCAAATCCAGCCTGGGCAGGAAACTCCATGAGACTCTTATCTCCAATAAACCACTAGAAAACCGGAAGTGGCGCTGTGGCTTAAGCCATAGGGCCCTCACTTTGAGCTGAAGAGCTGAGGGACAGCGCCCAGGCCCAGAGTTCAAGTCCCACCACCGACAAAAAAAAAAAAATCACAGAGCTGAGGGCTCAGCTCCAGCAGTGGAGCAAGCTCTAGGCCCTGAGTTTAATCTCTAGTATCTCAGAAAAATAAATGAAAAAGACACTGAGAGGCGACAATCTGGGAGGTGACTCCCAGAACATAGTGATATTCCCAAAGGGACTTCCTGACTGGTGTCGGGGATCAAGCGCCCCCGGCCTTTGGCTTCTCATCGGTCACCTGCCCCCAGAATCACCCAAAAGGCAGCCAGAATTTTATTTTCATTCATTAACTTTGTCATCAGTTTGTGGGGCTTGAGTTCAGGGCCTGAACGTTTTCTCTGAACTGGGCTAACATTCTGCCACTTTGAGCCACAGCACTGTATCTGGTTAGTTTTTTGGTGGTTCATTGGAAGGAAGAGTCTCACAACCTTTCCTGCCCAGGCTGGCTTTGAACTGTGATCCTCAGATTTCAGCCTCCTGAGTAGCTAGGATTACAGGCGTGAACCTCCAGTGCCAGGCTTGTGTATGTGTGTTTGTGTGCCAGAGCTAGGATTTGAACTCAGGGCCTGGGCGCTGTGCCTTACCTTTCTGCCCAAATGCTGGCACTCTACAACTTGAGCCACAGCTCTACTTTTGGCTTTTGGGTGGTTCATTGGAAAGAGTCTCATAGACTTTCCTGCCTGGGCTGGCTTTGAACCACAATCCTCCAGATCTCAGCCTCCAGAGTAACTCAGGTTCAGTCTCAGACTTCCTTGTTCTACCCGATTGCTTTCTCTGTCTTTTTGTTGTTGTTGCTGTTGGTCGTGGGGCTTGAACTCTGGGCCTGGGCGCTGTCTCTCAGCTCTTCTGCTCAAGCTGAGCGCTCTACCACTTGAGCCACAGCGCCACTTCTGGCTTTTTCTGCTTATGTGGTGCTGAGGAATTGAACCCAGGGCCTCATCATGCATGCGAGGCAAGCGCTCTACCACTGAGCCACCTTCCCAGCCCCTGTTTTCTTTTTCTTAAAGATTCATCAATAAGCTGCAGCCAGGCTCTGTGAAGAAGGTGAACGAGTCCACCCAGAATTGGCATCAGGTAGACTCAAAGACAGCTTCCTTCAACCCCTTAACCCCAAGCCCCGCCGCCCGCCCCTCCCACCTCTGATCTGCCTCTGTCCACTACCCCCCCCCCCGGCAGTTGGAGAACATTGGCAACTTCATCAAAGCCATCACTAAGTATGGGGTGAAACCCCACGACATCTTCGAGGCCAATGACCTGTTTGAGAACACCAACCACACGCAGGTGCAGTCCACCCTCCTCGCCCTGGCCAGCATGGTGAGTGCCAGGCAGAGGGGGCTGGGGTGCCCCGTGCCTGGGGGGGGTCTCCTCACCCATCCCCTATCCCCCTGGTCCCTCCCAGGCCAAGACAAAAGGAAACAAGGTGAACGTGGGGGTGAAGTACGCTGAGAAGCAAGAGCGGAAGTTTGAACCCGAGAAGCTCAGAGAAGGGCGGAATATCATCGGCCTGCAGGTATGACCTTTCCCCACTGGCTCAGCCCAACCCAGAGGTCAAGGCCAGAACTCTGGTCCCAGCTCTGGGGACCAGATGGATGCCAGTTGCTCATGCCTGTCGTCCTAGCTACTCAGGAGGCTGAGACCTGAGGATTGTGGTACAAAGCCAGCCTGGAAAGACAAACCTGGGAGACACTTTATGTCCAATGAAACAGCAAAAAGCTGGAAGTGGAGCTGTGGCTCAAGTGGTAGAGCACCAGGCTCAAGGGGAAAAAAAGCAAAGCAAGCTGGACAGTGGTGGCTCACGCCTGTCATCCTAGCTATTCAGGAGGCTGAGATCTGAGGATTGCGGTTCCAAGTCAGCCGGGGCAGGAAAATCCGTGAGCCTCTTATTTCCAATAAACCACCAGAAAACTGGAAGTGGCGCTGTGGCTCAAGTGGTAGAGCACCAGCCTTGAGCTGAAGAGCTGAGGGACAGCGCCCAGGCCCAGAGTTCAAGCCCCATGACTGACAAAATAATAGTTATTGCCATCTAATTACAGGCCAGATACCTTGTGGAGGAGGGGGGAGGGCGGTGTGTGGGTGTGGGTATGGGGTATTGGGGATCAAACCCAGAGCCTTGCGCACCTGCTAGCTAGGCAAGCACGTTGCCACCGAGCTACGTCCCAGCCACCAGATGCCTTTTGTTTTCCCTACCTCACCCCTTTGTCTGCATAGGGAAACTGAGGCCTGGAGAAGCTAGCTCACCCTTTGCCCACTGGGCTGCATGAGATCTCGGTCAAGCGCTGTGGCCACGCTGTGCCGCTGTGCCTCCGTTTCCAGTGCGTCCCTCGGTCTGATTCTCCTTTTGGCTTCTCAGATGGGCACCAACAAGTTTGCCAGCCAGCAGGGCATGACGGCCTACGGCACCCGGCGCCATCTCTACGACCCCAAGCTGGGCACAGACCAGCCCCTGGACCAGGCCACCATCAGCCTGCAGATGGGCACCAATAAAGGAGCCAGCCAGGTGAGGGACGCGGCATCCTGGCACTCTGCCCGCTCCCCGCCTCGTCTCTGTACCCCTTCCTTCCCCCCACCTCCCCCCCCACCCCGCCCCCACCTCCCAGGGACTGACTGCTCTGTCCTTCAGGCCGGTATGACAGCACCCGGGACTAAGCGGCAGATCTTCGAGCCGGGGCTGGGCATGGAACATTGCGACACGCTCAACGTCAGCCTGCAGATGGGCAGCAACAAGGGGGCATCGCAGCGGGGCATGACCGTGTACGGGCTGCCCCGCCAGGTGTACGACCCCAAGTACTGCCTGACACCCGACTACCCGGAGCTGGGCGAGCCCACCCAGAACCATCACCCGCACAACTACTACAACTCTGCCTAAGAGGGGGGACAGAGGGGCCCCTCCAGAGGGAGGTTGCTGCTATTCTTGGCTGGACCCCGCAGGGGAGGGGGGCCCAGTGGACCCCCCTCTTCCTCCTCCTGCATGGCTTCACCCAACCCGCTGCCTACAGGGTTACAGTTTGGGAAGAGATTTTTCGGGGAGGGGGGGCAGCGATCTGTAAAGGGGCAGAATGGGGACCTCCCGTCCCCCTGTAGCACTGCAAGTGTCCCCCCCAAACACCCACAGCAAAGCAATTCCAGCTGTTCCCCAATCCCTTCACAAGTGGGGACCCCCCTCCCCAATCAGAAGCTCTACCCCCCAAATGAAGCCCCACCTCCCCTCCAGAGCCCAGACTCGGCCCCCAGCCCATCCCCCACAGCAGGTGCAAACTGCATGCCCAGCGATGCAGGGGACGCGCGCGGTTGGCTTTGCTGTGACCGGCATCTGTGGAAGTGACAAGCGGCGTTTGGAACGCAAGCACTTTTTTTTGTTTTTTGGGTTTTTTTGTTTTGTTTTGTTTACTACTTCACTGGAGCACAAATAAATGGCTGTAAAACCACCTGGGGCTTTGTCCAGCTCTGTTCACTGGCCTGTGTGGCTCTTACATGCATGCAGAGACAAATTCCATCACACACACACACACACACACACACACACACACGTGTGTGCTAGCCAGGACAGGCACCCCATGTCACTCCCATGCAACATCTATCCACATATACATCCCTTCAACTCTTCATGCAAACCCACAAATATAGGGCCCTGGCCAGAGGCTGGTGGCTCACGTCTGTAATCCCAGCTACTCAGGAGGCTGAGATGTGAGGATCAGGGTTCAAAGCCAGTCTAGGCAGGAAAGTCTATGAGACTTTTTTTCTTTTTTCTTTTTTTTGCCAGTCCTGGGGTTTGAACGCAGGGCCTGGGCACTGTCCCTGAGCTTCTTTTGCTCAAGGCTAGTGCTCTATCATTTGAGTCACTGCACATTTGAACCACATTTGAGTCACATCCGGCTTTTTCTGTGTGTGTGGTACTGAGGAATGGAACCCAGGGCCTTGTGCATGTTAGACAAGCACTCTACCACTAGGCCACTTTCCCAGCCCTCTGTGAGACTCATCTCTAATTAATCACCAAAAAAAAATACCCAGAAGTGGAGCTGTGGCTCAAGTGGTAGAGCACCAGCCTTGAGTGAAATAGGCTAAGCAACAACTCAACTCGTAGGCATAAGTATCAGCACAGGAAAGACACACTGCATTCCAGGAGGTAAACGTGGCCACATTTACCACACAATACCCATATGCGCATGTGCGCATAGGGTAGACTGCAGAGACTGGATCATCATAGCTCCGCCACTTACTGTCCCCTCTAGAGACCTGGTTTCCCATCCAAAAGATGGGCACTGTGTGAATTTATGAATTTTGTGGGTTGGAAAAGATCAGGGAAGATCCTTGTGATCCTTGTGGACAGCATGTTACCTTTCAATCCCCAGATTGTGTGGAAGTAGGGAGGACTGGACTTGGGGGGCTAGGAGGAACGGCTCCTATAGACGGGCACAGAACACTGCCACTTCCGTGTGGCTGGGCTTGGGGCATGCCTGCTTCTGCATCCACCTTGCCTTCCCGTAGGGCCAGTCCCCAATCCTGCATTTAGGGTTCAAGGAGTGAATGCAGACAAAGCGAAGAGGACACAGATCAGTTTGTGTTGCTTTTTGGGGGTTGAGCCGGCGTTCAACCTGGGTGCTGTCCCTTCCTATTTTTTGCTGAGGGCTGGTGCTCTACCACTTGTGCCACATCTCCATATCTGGCTTTTTGCTACTTCATGGGAGATGAGAGTGTCACAAGATTAAGAATTTCCTGCCCAGGCTGGCTTTGAACATCACACTCCTCAGATCTCAGCCTTTTGAGGAGCTAGGATTCCAGACGTGAGCCACTGGTGGCGCCTAGCTCAGAAGCAAGTAGTGTCCCTCTCCTCCCCGCCCCCTTCTCCCTCCCTCCCCAGAACAAGGGTCAAGGCTGGAACGCTGGGACCTGCAGAGACAGACACCAGAAGTCCCGCGTGCCCAGACCCACACAAGCGCCTGGGGCCTCATAAAACAAATTCCAGGCACTTTTCGCCTGACAATTTCAAGATCTGCGCTCCCAGGGCTGGCAAGGGGAAGC